CCCTAAGGGTCCCTTTAAGGGTCCCTGGTTTAGTCCCCTGAAAAACCATGCAACACCACAAACTACAGTACCACAACACCTCGAAGTCCAGAACCTTATTCCCAAAGCCCAGACTCCAAACCAGTAAGCGAGGCGCCCACTTGCCTGGAACACCATAAGCCTATAAACCCTTATCACAGGAAACACCCACCTGAGGTAAACCCTACGGCCTATCAGCCGTAAAAATTGAACCGTAACGTCAAGATTGCCTTCTTGGGCTCCTCCCGAGCCGGTTCCTCCTCTTCTGCTTCCTCCAGCTTCGCCAGGCGTCGGAGGAGACCAAGTCGCCGCTGCCGGCTCACTTCCTGGGGGCTTTGGAGTTTAGCTTTTGGGCTTGAAGGGTTAGCGATGAAGGGCTTCAAACTAGCCGAGACTTGAGGGCTCTAGAAGTTTCAGGATTTAAGGGATATTTGATTGCGCCCCGGGGATTCAACTCCAGAAGATCGTGAAGAGCATGCTATTCTTTCGGGAGCGGTGAGCCAAGTAAACCACCCCAGAGCTCTGATAAACATCCGACTGTTCCTTTCAGCTCAGTGTGAAGAAACGCCAGCCAAAAACTGTTGCCCACCTCCTCCCGCTCGCACTTGCTCGCGAAATCCTGTTGTAGTTCACGCTGATCCTGGCTCTTGCTGGGCTTGCCCAAGGCATCCGAGCAGGGATCAGGGTTTGTGCTACCAGGGGTTTTCGGATCCCAGCCTTCGGACAACTCTTGGAGACAAAAAATCGTAGAGTTCTTTTTGCTTTCTGACGTGACATGCGAGAGCCCACGGAGCAGATGCTGCAAAGACCAGGCGAGAAGCAAGCGAGGTAGTATGGAGGCCTTATAAGCCTCAGAACAGATTGTTGGGGTATACGGTATATCATAAGAAGCAATTTCACTACATATCTTATTTTGGCTACGGAATTAGGCAGACATCCACCAGCCAGAGCAAGTCAAGCCCCGGCGCCCTGTGCACTCTGTCCAAGAAAAATAGCTTCAGGCAGACAAAGAAGTGAGTCCTGACTAAAGCCCTAAATCGTGCGCCAAAGTCCTTATTTGCCCAAGGACTTTACCCGCAAATCTCTGAAGCCCGAAAAGCCAATTGAAGGCTCATGGGCAATCAGAACAAGGTATAGAAACAAGGTAACGAAAAGAGCTCTAACCCCGGCTAGGCTACGCTGCTCGTGCTTCTGTGGGCCAAGTCTGAAACGGGGTCCGATAAGAGTGATGCCCTCTAGAACCCCTTTCTTCAACATTATATAGAATACCCCCACAACCTTGTTACAAGCCTGATTAACACTCCTAGACCATGTCTCACATCTGAGGAGTCCTCATGCAGCCGCACACACAGGCCACGAGCTCGGCGCATTGTCAGCAGCCTCATGCTCTGACAATCTAGGGCATAGGGCCTGACGCGCAGTTGATAGCATGAGCCGTAAGCTTTAAGCCGCGTAGACATGCCAAATCCCTCTACAACGAGCGAGCTGCTATCAGGCTACCCTAACTGTAGGAAGGACTGAATGTGGCAATGTAAGAATCTGCGATTTGGCGCCTCGGATGGAAGGGTACTGGTTGTATGACCGCGCAAAGGAAGACTCTCCCATGCCAAACTCATCATCATGCATCTGGGGGGGATGCTGGCGAACAGGCAGAACTTCGCGAGTCTCAGAAGATAGAGGGACTTCAGCAAAAGCACTAGAGTACAGTGTGTAGGGTGGCAAGCTGTTTGTGATCATAAGCCCCCACACGGTGACACTCTAACCATAAACGCCCTCTCTAAACCGCAAAGCCTACAATCCATTCGAAGACCTAAATAACTCAAACCCTAAACTCCTGCTCCAAGTCCCCTTCACCCTAAAACGCATCATTGAGGCCATGAGGTCTAAGAGAAGAATACCCTTGAACTGCCGTAGCATGCCCTCCTTGGTGGAGTCCCCATAAGTTAGATCTCACTCCATCAAACTACAGTCATAGTTGATGAATAACATAGTCAATAGTATCAGGACCCCTGCTGAACGCCTTGCAAATCAGGGTTCCGCATGAAAGATTTGCCGTTGTGACCAAATTCCCGTATTCAAACAAAACACAGCTTTCGCATGCCAACCCTAAGCCCTCCCTGCGGCTCTCCGTTCACCTACTATGACCTAGCTGAGGCTGTACCGTTCCAACCACGGCGCAGTTCAGCCAGGGCTTCTCTAAGGGCATCAGAAGACCCCACGCTCGCCAGCATTCGGCAGTCCCGGAGATTTGCAGTGAGGTCCTGGGAAGGCGTCTTAAGAAGCTCTGAGCCCATTTCCCTACCCTACTGAAGCGATGTGGTATGGGCTTCCTTATAACACGAGGAGCAGGATTACGGGGGTTTAAGTTTTGGGCTTTACCTCATAAGCAAACTTGCTTATGGGCTCATGGGCAGTTGCAGGCAGTGAGCTGCAGGCAGCTCCGTGCATTGCAGCGCTAAAAGCAGTTTACGTTGCGTATAGCCGCAAACCCTAAAGCCTAAAGCTACCACGTGTATGTTCCGGAGATAAGAACCCCCTTTCCTAGCACGGGCTGGGTGCCCGGAAAAGCTGTGATGAAGTTAGAACCAACCTAAAAACTGCGAGGAAACCCCTAAAAGCCCCTCCCCGAAGGCGCTTTTCTCATGGAAAAAAAACAGGGAACCCTTCTGATCTATTTCAGGAACCCTAAAGGGCCTTCAGGGCTCGCATGACGTGGCGCTTTCTGGGAACATTGAAAAGAGCACAAAAAAGGAACCTCCCTCCCTTTCCCGGGTCCAAGGCGAGAAGACGTCCGCCGGCCATGCAACGGAGAAAAGCCTGGACTTGGGTTCCCGGGGTCTTGGGTTCTTTTTGGGTCCTGGGTTCAGGTTTGAGGCTTTCGGTACATACTGCCCAGTTTCGAGTTGGGCTCACTCCTTCAGGTTTGCGTCTCCTGAGGCTTTTCGGCTTCGAGTCGGGTTCGCGCCTTAGGGCTCGCAAAGCGGGAAAGCTCGTAACATAAGCATGCATGAACAAAGTATATATATATATATGTAGACACAGACAGAGAACCCCAAATTAGCATTTTCTTGAAGGGGACACTCAACATATCTGCAGGCCTAAAGCCTTCCTGAAGCCTCAGAGAGCGCTGAAACACCTTAAACTCCAGACCACAAGCCTTGTGAAACCTGTGTGTATCGTGTATTTATGCATGCATGCATAGATGGATGGATGGATGGATGGATGGAACATTTCTCTACTAGTTCATTATTGTATTCATTATATTGATTTTAATCACATGTATATATTTGTACACACACACACCCCTATATATATACATACACACAAGCTACGATACTGTAAAGCCAGAAACACTTCCGCCCTCAGCTAATTCGAAACGGTGATGGCAACGATGCCCTTCTATATATGTATACAATTATACGTACAGCGAAGCCCAACCCAAAAGGCGAAGGCATGAGTTTCTCATGCATATCTATATGTATGTAGGTATGTGTGTATGTATGTATGTATGTATGTATGTATGCACGAGACAATGATGTGTATATATATAGAGACATGCTAATAATGTAAATATGTGAGTTTATGTATGTATTACATGCATACATACATACGTACATACATACGTACATGCATACGTACATGCATACGTACATACATACGTACATACATACATACATACATACATACATACACACACACATATACATATATATATATAAATGTACACAGACACAGATATAGACCTAGCGCAAAGACCGCACTCGAGGCCACCTCGTCCTGGCGCAGCTGCTTGGAGGCCGCTCGGCGCCGGGAGCTCTCCTCGAGCTCGTCGCGAGCCAGGTCGGCCTTCAGCCGGGCTCGCTCCCGAGTTCCTGGGCTCTCGAACATGAAACGAAGAAGGAATGCCAAGAATAAGAAAGGAATAATAATGATCACGAATCACAACCATAAAGGGGCCGTGAACAAAAGGATTTCTGGACTGTCTGTCTTGCGGGGGGGGGGGAGGGATTCTGGGTTGCAGGTCTCGCCAATCTTGAACCTCTCCTCGACTCCAGAGACTCTTGTAGTTACCGCATTGGCCTGTCCCACCGTCATGGTTCGGACGTGACATTGAGGAAACGGGGCACGTAAGAGAAGGAACTCAGAACGATGTCTAGCTGACTCCGAGAGCAGCAGCTTGATGCTGCGAGTGCCTACTTGTATCCTGGAATGTTCAGGTCCGCGTAACGTTAGATTCTCCTATCCATCTCATTCCGAGACTTTGCAATCTAGAACCGCTATTCACACCTACTCCGAGGATGCGAGAACTGCTTCATTTTCTCTGTTCCTGCCTGAATGCCAAAACTGTTTTATTTCAAAATCGAGGCCTCAACCCTGAAATATCGACGAACCCTACTGCAAAACACACAACCCACAACAATCTACACGACACTTCCCTTTCCTCCGACCCTTTTTCTTTAACTCAGACATCCATATATAAACTGCCAAGAGAGGCTCTTCGCTGCGCCTTTTCCTCGGGCCCCGGCTTGGCCCTGGCCTGGATGCGCTGCCACCACTCCTGGAGCTTCCGCTGCATGTCCTCAGAGAGCTCTTCCTTCTCCTGGAGCAGCTAAAGAGGGCGAGTTGTAAGCGGGAGAAAGGCTACAGGGTTTAGAGAGGTTAAGGGATTCAAGAGATCTTTTGGGGGGGGGGGGTGGTGAGTGGCGACTTGCATGCATCCCACTTGCTCCTGGACTTTCTCGGCCTTCTCTGGCGCTGCCTCGATGGCCTTCGACTCCGCCTCCGTCTTCACCGGCGAGGCGACAGGCGCGGAAGCCTTCGTCCACGTTGGCAGCTCTGATGTTCCCGCTGTGCTTGCGGTGCCGGCCTTTTGGGGCACATCTGCAGGGTGCGGTGCGGGGAGCACGGGCTGTGCCATCAGGAGAGCTGGCACTGGAATTCCTCCCACCGGTCGTGCCTTTGGTGGCACTGTGCAGGGAACATTCACGGGTTGGGGCCCGTGGCACTTGGCCGCCGCGACTTTGGCTTTGGCGGAGGCTTTGACGGAGGCCTTGGCCGTGGCCTTGGCGAAAACAGGCCCAAAAGGTGCCCGTGCAGGGACGAGAGCTCCGCGCGGTCGTGTGCATGGCGGGGCAGTCATCAGCAGAAAAAACCTTCCTTCTCGTGCTTGAGTAACACTGCTGTGCTCGCTAGGTGATGGGCTTCCGGTCGTTGCCTCGTGTTGTGTCTCATGATGTTATAGATGTGGAGGCCTGTGCGGAGGCAGCATGCATGCCGCACACGGCTCTGACCTGCATATGCCGGTTTTGGAAGCTTTAAAGCTTCGTAGCTGAAACGAATCCTACACTTTGGGTCGGCGGCCGGTGATCTTCCTAGGAACGCTACCCAAGCCAAGCCTCCAGCGACCCTCTGGAACCCTTCTGGGCCATCAGACTGCGGACATGCATTGCCAGGGCGCAATGTGGTTTCAGACTCAAACTCAGGACCTAAGCAACATGTGACATGCAATGATATGTGGCCGAAGCCTCTTAAATTGGCAGGTGCTGAACTTTACCAGGCTCACATTCATATCTCAACAAGTTGTATATCAAAAGGAAACCCAGGGTCGAAGTCGAATGTTGCGATTTGAAGTAGCTCCCGGACTTTTCAATGGAAACGCTGCTTGCCCACACCCCAGCCCCAACAAGCCCCACACTCCATACACTACGAGAGCCCAGATGCTCCACACACACGGAAGTCCTATGAAGGCTAACAATGGAACCGATTTTTGAATCCGTGAAACCCCAAAAACACCTGGGCTTGCTGCCCGAGGCGCCTTGGTGGACACCTGATCCTCCGCAGCGGTCACCTGGCACAAGAGGGGTCGCTTCAGAGAATATGGGAAACCCGAGTGTATAAACCCCCGAAAATTGCAGTATCCAAAGATCGAATCCTGAAATAAAGCGCCGTAGGACTTCCTCCGCCTCCAAGTCCCGAAACGCTGCCCGGACGTCTCAGCTAAGCTACCCGGGGCTTAGGAGGATGAAGACAGGACCTTTCCTCTACGTCTTTGATCCCTTAAGGCGTCTGTGGATGAAGGTGTATGGATGTCCCAGAAAGAACCCTCAAACCTCATTTAAAAAACCTTCAATCCCCAAATCCGACTTAAACCATAAGACACACACACACACTCCAACCGTTTTATGCAAGCGTGGGAAACCTCAACCTCGGCCCACATCCCAAGAAATACACACCAATATCCGAAACCTCCTGGCGACTCTCAAGCCCTTTTGCGACCGACTCTTGCCTCGCCGCCGGGGAGCTCCCTAGCCCTTAACCGCCTTAACCCTTTTGCAACTGGCCTGCTGCGACTCTGCCAGGACGAACACTTGGCCACAATCACTTAGTGAGTAACCGCCTTAACCCTGAAGCCCTAATCCCTCAGACCTGGGACCCTTGGAAGGTAAGTGTGTTGTAATTATGCTGTATACTCTCTGCGTAGATTTCCGGATGCTGTGGCAGCGACCTCGCCCGTCTTGGCGGCCACCAGGGCCTTTCATCCCGGTTCAAGAGGGTTGAGGGCTTAGCTAAGGACGTCAAGCTCCGGTCTAGGGCCAGGCTTGTGTAAACGCCAGGGACTTCGGGCAAGGCTTACTGTTGGAAATCAGGTACCTGCGTAGGCGGTTCTTCCACGCTCCCACTGCTGGACCCTGCCTTACGCTGGTAGCTTCAAAGCTTAGCATCTCAAAACTAAAGCGCCGTCACCAAGGGATCCTATCTTGCTTCGATAACAGATGAGAAGTTCGCTTCAAGCCTGAAGGATATTGCATACCTCTACACATCAAGACAAGGTTTCTGCAGGCCTCTACATTACGAAGCTATCTACTCTAAGGCCAAAGGTGGCCACTCTCAAGCTGAAAGACCTTTCCTGGTAGCTCTTCTCCAGCTTGGCGTCCTCTTCCTGCTCTTCCTGTCCGGGCTTTGCGAGCTAGGTAGTATTCTGAAGGGTTTAGGGTTTTGGAGTTGAGGCTGCTGGGTTTAGACAAGGACATGCCGTCTGCAGACCAGCACCTTCCCAGGCAGTCAACGCCGCTTACCCGAGCCCCCGAGCCCACATGAAGTTACAAGATTTCTGGACCTCGAACAAAAAACACCCCGAGCCGGAACGCAGGAATGTGGGAACTAGATGTTTTGCTTCTTCTCTGGTCCTGCAGGTCACGCTGAAAGTCGCCAACCATGGCCTTCGGAGTGACGGAAGCCCCAAGCAAGGACGGACGCACAGGACAGATGCTCAAGCACTCTGAACCCTACCCTTATCACAAGTACTGCTATGAAGGAGCCCATATTTCTACGGCTCATCACCATACTGTTTAATTGGTTTTCAATATAAACCCCGATACGAGGTTCACAGCAGGGACCCGATGAACAAGTTGTCTGGCCGGCTGACTTCTTGCCGAATTACCATGCCTACGGTCGGTGAGTGATACTATTCCCTCAGGGTCGCTGTATCCATGAAGCATATACGCCGACACTGAAGTAGAGTCTATAGAACGCATACAAACCAACTCAAGACTTCAAGTTTATACTGCGTAAGTTCATGGACCGGAAATATGCAAGTCTTCTTCGGTGCTGGGTCCTAGTGTTGATTAGGTCTTTCCGGGTCCCAGGCTGTTGTAGGGGTTAATGGCTCCGTCCAAACATCACATTGATCTGCTTTCCTGAGGGGGCCGACAAGGGAAAATAATTTAGAGACTTCCCATATGGGGTGAAAGGCATCCCCCTACAGTAAGTTTGACCACCTCTTCTTTTCGGACAGCAGCCTGTGACCCGCTCAGATTCATGATAGTTTTTGCAGGGGTAGGATCTCTCCCATGCACCACACCGCCAACAACCAAACACTTGAACGCATCACTTAAGAGTTGAAGGGTCAGGCTCTAGAGTTTCTTGTGTCATAAGCCTAAACAGAATGAACATCTTCAACTCAGACTCTGCACCATGCTGTCAATGGCGTTGCAGCTGAAAGCGAGTATTGAAGCCATGGTTTCGAGCTGCTTAGAACTACTCTGCCACACTCCCCAAACTTAAACCGCCACCCTGCAACCCCAAACTGCCTGGAGAAGGCCCACCACCGTATCCACAGGGCCTTCCGCCTAGTGCCGACACAGCTCAAGAATTCGAGGGACTAGTTTTCGTGTTTAACTTGGGCTTCATGGGCTTGATATCTCAGAGACTGGAAGAGCTAGAGGGAACATCCCTCTTTTGTCCCTACATACGTATTAGTGATACGATAGTCTGCGCCACCAAGGCCCGCCCGGAAAGGAGGACCGGTGAAGAGCTCTGGCATCAGAACTTAGCGGGTTACCTGTTATCCAAGTTACTTCTCAAATACTTGCGGCGTCGACGGCTCATACTTCCGGAAAAAATCGCTATGCTGAACCCAAACCCTCGATGTCAGCGGTGCAAGTCACCGACCACCCTCCCTGAGCAAGCGTCCATGTTCAACCGGACCTAACACTGTTGACTGGCAATCGTGGGTGGATGCGCCGATGCGCCCCGAACTGCAGTAACTCTTGAATGTGAGACTCTGTCAACACCTATCTAGACTTCTAAACCTCAAGCCCTAAACCCTAAGCCCTCGAAGTCTGCACTGCATTCTAGACCTCAATTCCCGGAGCCTATCTTAAGACGAACTACCACCAGCCCTGAACTCATACCTCTAAACTCTAAACACTTTAAACAACTTCAATCACAACTCCTGAGTTCCATACACGGCCCTACACCCTCGACCCAAAAAGCGACTGCACCCTCGCTGCCCGCGGCTGAGCAATCTTCAACAAATTTGAGCTCTAAGCCCCCTTTGGGGCGCGAGATGATTAGTACACAAAAAATGGGAAAATCATATTCCAAGCTGACCCAAAGCAGCTGGCCTCGGCGTTTTCCTTTTTCTGGAGGAAGCCCGGGCCCTTGGTGAACTGGCTCGGATCCTGATTCGTTCGGCGCCGTTTTCTCAAACCTTGTGCTAGGTTTTTTTTGCGCGTGCCTATGGCATCCTTCAGCATCGCTCTCTGGGGGTTTGAGGACGCTTGGGTTCAAGGCTTCAGAGTCTGTCCTAACTCCACCGAAAACCACCGTCACTTGATGCCCAACAGCCACAAACCCTTGCAGACCCCAATCCCGAAAGCTGAACGGGAACTTGCAGATTAAGGCACCACTTATGACCCTCGACAGGATGATCCCAGTAACAAGCCTCGGTATTGAGGTGTCTCTTATGGGTAGTTCTCCAAAGTCGGGCCCAGTTTAATGTCCTGTTTAGAAGGATGCCGCACTATTTTGGGGAGGACCGAAAAGGGACCCCAACTTGGAGAACTACCCATATTATAGCCTTGACCTTGAACTGCCCGGCCTTCAAAAAGTCGTCCAGAAGCATCCGCTCAGCTCGGCTCGTCTTTGCCCTCAAAAGGTGAGCTGCTAGGATTTCTCGCGGGGTTCAGGAATTGGTTTCGTCCCATTCATCTAAGCTCCACTACACCAAGCCTTAAATCCAAAGACCCGAATTCCCAAATCCTCCTCATCTTCACGGGGTGCAGCCTCGCTGAGGGCTTCCTGGCTTACTGTTGAAGGTTTGTGGTCTTCCTCAGCATAGCAAAGGTAGAAGCCTGAAGACCAAAACCCAACTGATTCAATGTCTCTGGATGGGGAATCGACGCGGAGACGATTTGCAGGTCCCTATCTGACCTACGATCCGGGTCCTTGGGAGCGGCTTGAGGTTCGGATTAGCTAGGCAGCCAAAGCCCTTGTCTCCATGTTAGGCAGTGTGTCGAAGCGTTTGGGTCGTAAACACAGCCAGGAGTTGCAGCAAAGGGCAGCTCCAACAGTTAGGCACGACAGTTCTGCTCTTCACGTAAGAAGTCGTCGAAAGCCTACGGGAGGATCAAAGAGAAGACCTCAACGTAACCTTGCATGGCCACTGGATTGCGGCGAAAGCGGCCGGATCTTGTCGTAGTTGCTGTGCACCACGAGCCTCAGCCTGAAGATCGGGGCTCACTGAAACTTACTCTGACCTCATTCGCGTCGATGTATACTCCCCAAAGATACGACAAGACACACAGAAATGCAAACACGCGAGAGGGCTGAACATGTCTTGACGTTGGTCACAAAGCATTGTGGCAAGAGATGCAGGATTCGTATCTCCTTTGTTGAAAATATAGTCTTCTAGCAGGCTCTATGATGCGGGTGAACAGCGTTGATCCGAAAAAGCCAGACCCTGGCTCTAAACTTCTATCAGGCTCTGCCACTGTAAAGGTCCTACCCTAGCTCTTCTACTGGCACCGCGGGGCGTTCGAGCCCATCTTAGCCATTTGCCCATAGATTTTATCTCTACTGCCACTTTTGAGGGGTCGTGCTATTGCTCCTGCTCTGGATCTTGCTCCCGCGCTGGCTCTTGCTCCTGCTTCTGCTGCGTCTCTTGCGCCTGCTCGTGCTCTTGCCGCTGCTCCCGCTTTTGCTCCAGCTCTTGCTCTTACTCCCACTCGTGCTTTTGCTTTGCTCTTGCTGCTCTTGCTGTGCTCCTGCTTTTCCTCTTTCTCCTGCTCTTGCTCTAACTCATGCTCTTGCTTTTGCTTCTTACTGTGCTCTAACGGTACTGGGAGCCTCGAAACCCTCCCCCCTAATTCAAGGTTCTAAAGGGCATGGCTGATTTCGGGAGGATTCGCCCCAATGTGTTTTAATCATTAGGAGGGTGTTTAATGAAAGGGGGAAGCGATTAAGGTTCCAACTATACGATAGTGATAGTACAATGCGAGTCCCTTCTCCTGTCTACCACAACTTTGTAAGGTTGAACGATGCGAATCCATGAGCCCTTTACCAACATGCAGGTTCTATGAAGAGAATCCCTTCAGCTATCTACTAGAATTCAAAAAATACGATGCGATCCCTTGAGCTCTCTAACAAGTCACGCAATACGATACGAACTTCTTAAGATTAAAAAAAGAGAATCCCGATAGAACTCTCTACAAATTCAACCTATACGATGCGAGTCCCTTGAGCTTTCTACAAATCTGACTTAAGCGGTGTGAATCCCGCTGCGAATTCAACCTATACGGTGCGAATCGTTTGAGCTCGATGCAATTTCATTCTCCGAATCCCCTGAGCTCTCTACAATCTACGAGTTCGGCCTACACGATGCGAGAGCTCTCTACAAATTCGACGTATACGATGCGAATCCCTTCAACTCTCTACAATCCAACCCAAACGGTTCAACATATCCGATATGAATCCCTTGAGCTCTCTACAAGTTCAACCTATTCGATGCGAATCCCTTGAGCTCTCGACAAATCAACCCATACGATGCTAATCCCCTGAACTTTCCACAAATTCAACCTGTGCGGTGCGAATCCTTTGAGCTCCCTACAAATTCAACCTTGCGAATTTTTTGAGCTCCCTACAAATTCAACCCAATCGATGCGAATCCCTGGAGCTCTCTACAAACTCGCCCTGCTGGATGTGAATCCCTTGAGTTCGACCTTTACGCTACGAAGCCCGTGAGCTCTCTACAGATTCAACCCGCACGATGCGAATCCCTGGAGCATTCTACAAACTCAATCTATATACGTTGCAAGTCCCTCCACAAATTCGACCTACACTTCTGCGCGAGCCCCTTGAGAGCTCTCTACAAATTCCGACCTCTACGATGCGAAACCCTTTTGAATTCGGCTGAAGGTCTAAATCCGACCCGAGGGCGCCCCCCCTGGCCTGGCCATAGTGCTTTCGGACTGCAGGAGAGAGCTTCCCGACACCGAAAATGCGGCCACTGCCGCCGAGACCTCGGCTTTCTGGATTTATAGGCTGGGCATCAAAGTTAAGGTTCAGGGGATTAGGGTCGTCAGGTTTAGGGGTTGATGTTCAGGAGTCCGGGTTTTGCAATCTCACCTTATATGGGTTATGGTTGATAAGGTGGGAATGGTCCAGGTAGGGTCGGGGGGAAGGTCTGAGGTTGAGGGTCTCGAACCTGGGCATGGAGTCTTATAAGGCACCTTAAGCTAAAGCAGAAATGAGTAGTAGGATCCTCATGATATATATATATATTTGGGACGCGTAAATCAGGTGCCCCTGCTTCGCAGAAGGCAACACAGATTGCAAAGGGTTGTGGGGGGTTGAGGTTTTGGGATTCAACCTCCGGTCTTCTAAACCGCGCGACGTCTGTGAGGGTGCCCTAGGCCAACATAGAGCGTGTCAACAGCGTGCTACGGCATGAAGTGTCACATGGAGACTACAGGAGAACGCGGCCTGTGCCTGCTCTAAACCCTCCAACATCCGGGAAGTAAGGGGAAGGGAGGCCATGAGACTTCGACATTCGGAACAACGTGGTTTAGGGGTGATTTCCAGGCGACCAAGAACAGGATGAATTAGGAAGGCGTGGCCGTAGATTGAAGGCATGGGTTCCTTGGGGGCTGAAGTAAATTGGTCTAATCTTGTTGGGACAAGTTTCGAGGTTCCGGGTTGGATTGTTTGTAAGTTCAAGCTAGGGTTTGGTCGGGATATCAAACCAATGAATCCAGACATCGTCTCATGGTGCCTGCAGACTGTAACTGCTCCTATGAGGTTATAGTGAGGCAGAAGGCCTTGGCTCACGCGATTCAAGCGTAAAGCCGCCGACTTGAGATCATCCTCCCATACCCCAAAAACAACCCACACCAGCCTTTAATTTAGGTGCACAGGGCCTGAATCATAAGAAAACCTTGAAGCCCTGAGGGCTTTAACCCTAAACCCTGAAACCCTGAATCCCGGAAGCCAGCCCCGAACCATCCAAGTCCTGAGAGAAAAAGGCCGCCAGGATCCGGGCTGCTTCGATGTTTTCTTTCAGGGACCTTGTGGATCTACCCTCCAGAAACCTATGAGTGAAGGCCTAGGCTGGACGCTGATGGTTTTTAAACGGGTTGGAAGGATTTCGGCTGTGACAGTGCTTTTCAACAGTGGTTGCTGCAGGTATCAAGGCGTTTTCGAACTAACTGGTCTTCTTTGGCATGGCTTGAGCCTGGTCATGCACCCTAATGCTTTGTGTGGGGCTGTAGAGGTCTGAAGGGTTGAGGCCAGTATGCACGCGGAGCTTTCGAAACTACGCACAAAGCGAAAATCATGCAGTTCCAACTCCATTTTTCGTTAGGGAGGATAGCCCTGTAAAATAATCGGTCATGACCTTTTCGATGGAGGGGATATCAGACTCAGATCCAGAGGTAGCTTCCAAAGCCGGAAACCAAGCCCCTGAAACTTCGAATTGGATGACTTCGAACATGTAGGGTTTTCACAAAGCTTCGGGGTACCTGTACTTTAACTAGAAAGAGGAAGTGAAGGCGACATCATTATTCAGACATGTATGTAACGTCAGGCAAGGTGTGTGTGTGTGTGTATATATATACACACACACATACATAGAGGGTGGAATCAGTGTACTTCGTAAGAGACAGCAGCAGCGTGCCCTTGTACTCCGTTTATAAGTGTATAGTATAGTCCGGTATGCCTCACAGCGCTATTCTCATTACCAAGGCCCCCATACTGCGTTCCTAACGCAGCCCGGCAGCGTCTCGTCCTTGGTGAAGGAATCGTGCTGATCCTTTCGCAAGGCCTCTGCTGTCGACAATGTGGCCTTCGGAAACGGGGCTTGAGCTTGCTTGCTCCGTTAGTTAAGGGGGTCTATACTTGGGCTTCACGGGGTTAACATACAGAAGTGTGGGGCAGATGGCACTTCAAACGTAAGCGCCTTGATGATTAGATTGGGGATTTGGGGTATAGCTATTGGACTGGGAATCTGGGACATAAACAAATTACATACATGAGGAACTGCTCGAATCCCCATGCCCCGCATGTAATGCCCAGATGTGTTACTAAACCGCCGCCTTGTTCGCTGCGATCTCCTTCGTTAAGGTCCTGATGTCGAAATCCAGGCGCTGGCCCTGACAAGCGGTGCTTGTTGCTGCCCATCCCGAAACTGTTTCTGAAGATCGTCGCTCGAGCAATGGTGACTGCATCGTAGCTTTAGGAAGGGATGCTGGTGGAGCCGCTTGTGCGTGGTAGTAGCATCAACAGCAGCAGCAGCAGCAGCAGCAGCAGCAGCAGTAGCAGTGGCGCTGGAATTTGCAGGATTGCCCTTGCAGTGTTTCAACTAGCCGGCAGTACCAAAGCCGTGTTCTCCTTCACGGCTGTGGTCTGGAGCTGGATCATTGTGTCCGACTTGGAAATAATCCTGCTGGCTGCAGGGTTGTCAGAAGGTTTCTGTAGGGCTTTGTATGATTCGGGTTGGCCTCAAGAGGACATGGCTCTCTTCGTAGACCTCAAGCCAACGCCCCGAAGCCCAAGGTGTCCTGTTCTTCTCATCTTTGGTGTCCTGACACCAGCCTGTGTAAATTAGAAGGTGGAGCGCTTGATGCTAATGGCACGGCTTCCAAGGTTGCAGGGTTGAGACTCAGGTATGCCTCTCCAGAATTCACGAGTCTTACAGATCGAGCTTCTTTGCAATCGGTGCTTTGGTTTTTGATGTTGATATAATTATGATGTTATCGCACGCAGCTTCTTATCCTTGTTCGCCATGGCAGTAGCTTAGGCCTTCCACCTTCTGAAGAGGGCCCCGGCTGGAGTCTTCAACAGAAGATGCTATACACCTGTGCTCTGGCGCCAAGCCCTCCAAACCTCCAAGTATGGTTTGCTTGGATATCCCAAACCGACACAGAAGGCGCACAAGAAACCAAACTCCTGAAGCCTGAGCTGTGCAACCCTCAACATAGTAGCAGTAGGAGTAATTAGTAGTAACAGGAGGAGGAGGAGGAGTGGCAGTCGTGCGGGTGGAGGTAGTAGTGCAACTAGCAGTAGCGATGGCCGTACTGCACATGATATGATTACTAGTACAATGGTTAGGACTAGTAGTAATCCCCAGACCCAAAACTCTAAGCCCGGACCCTTGAACCCCAAACCCTGAGCCTTCAATCCTCGGAGAAGCGCCTCTATGAGTCGTTGAAAGCCCTGGACTTTAGACACTAAACCCAAGCAATCTTTGAACCCGAGTAGCTGGTCATCTTGGCATGCGTGTCCTTTCAGGTTGTAGAAAAGTTTCGAACCAGGCTTCGGACTCAGAGTGTCACACAAAGGCTTTGATCAAAAGAATAGGGTTTGGGGGCCCATTTGGCGGGGTGTCTGCTTTTACAACTGCTTAAATGTAGAATAGAATTCGGGCGCATGTATAGTTATGAAGGGAGCATACGGGTATGGTGTTATCCATGTTCTAAGATCTCTATATGGGGAAAGAACCTATTTTTTCAACCCTTCAAATTCGTTTGCGAGATATACTTGGAGGCTGCGGCCATGAGGGTTAGAAAGAAAGCAACAGACTCCTAGCTGTCCCTAAGCCCAAAACCCGGAAGAGAAAAAGATGAAATTCTAAATCCTGCCCCCAGAATTGAAGGTGGTTTCTTTGTCTTGTGCGGGTCCCTTCCTGTTCGATTCGTGCTCTTCCACTACGTGCTACTGCTCTTGGAGCTCGAGGGAGATAGTTGCCAAGCACCGCTGCGTGGCGGTTTAGCTTTGCGATTTAGAGTCTCTGCGCTCACTCGAGTATTTCCGCGGTGGAAACGGATCCTTGGTTGAAAACCTTTCCTCATCCAAAGCTGTAGAAAGCAAATAGCCTTGGCCAAGCCATGGTCTAAAAGACTACTACAGAGAAGCTCTGAAACTTGGATCCCCAAACTCTCTCATCATGATGATACCATTGGCTGTATCCAGGCACACGCACAAACACAAACACAAACACACACACACACACAGAGACAGACACAGACATACACAGCCTCACACAGACACAGACGCAGACATACAAAGAAACAAAACCTTCCGCTTGTGTCTAAATCCCGTGCAGACTGAACGCAAATTGCAAAACCCCCATGTCCTGTCCGAAATTGGTTGGTTTTGCACCCCGAAACCGTCGCCAAACCCATCTACATGACCGAAACAGGGCTGTCTAGCAACCTTAGCATTGTATACCGTGAACTCTGAACCAACGCATCCTCAACCACTTCCAACTGCCCCATGATTCGTAGTTTGTGGAAACCTCAGACATGTTGACGAAAAGATTTCGCCCCAAAACCTCCAAGAGCCTTACAACCTTAAGGCTATCCCGCAGGAGTCGGTAAGTCTCACTCCGATTTCTGGAAAGGGCCTTTCGGGTTTTGTAGTTTTCTGGGTTTTGGGCAGGCCGCGAAACTCCCGGCAGCCTTGTCTGCATCCGCTTCTTTTGCCAGCTCCGTCTTCATGCCTGCAACTGCTGGGTGATTGAATCTGTCAGTTTCAAGGTGTGGTCTTCAGTTTTTGAGAGAGGGAGAGAGACCTCCCTCTCAGAAAGGAGGCGGTATCAGGAACTAGGTCATCTTCGTCATGGGTGGCTCGAAATCTGCAAGCGCGTGGCCACATCACCTTTGCAGAACAAGTGTCAACAAACAAAGCCGACGGCAAGGCGACTTGGGAAAATCAACACGGATCCTTTCATTTGCAAACATGTGTACACATATCTAATCACACATGTGAATATGCATGTGTGCCTAGACATATGGGTCTGTATGTGTGGATGTACATATATCAACCTTTGTCTAATGTATGCAGGCATGCAAGGAGGTATTTATGTATCTTGACATTCGCATGCTTCGAACTGGACTTCCGTCCGTTGCTGCTTGGCACGCCCGGAAAAAGATATCAAGCCCCTAAGACCAAGCCGCATCGTGCTGGTAGGCCAAACCCAACCTCCCCCCCAAAAATAAAAAACCTAAACCCTAAACCCTAAACCAAAACAAAATAGCGGCTGAACTTCAGAGTTCACGGCGGGGCCCTGCCTGCGAGGAGTTCCAGGACCTGCCCCCGGAAGAGAAAGCTCCCGGCGTTTAGAGGTTTTTAGGGGCTTTAGGGGTTTTTAGGCTCGTCAGGTTAAGGGTTTTTTTAGGGGCTTTTAAAGGTTTCTAATCTCCAAACCTCAGAAAGGGTTTCGGGTTTTGGCATTTCGGGTCTCAGGCTTTGGGGCTTTAGGGTTGCAGGGGTTCTGTAGGCTTTTGAATCCTATCAGGCCTCACAACCCGAACAAATTCTGGGAGTATCGGGCTTCTTTGCGGCTTAGTGCTTGGGCTTAGGCTTGAGGGGGGTGGGGGTTGGGGTTGACGCAAGGGTACTTCAGGGGTTGAAGGCATCTTTGCGCAGTCCTTTGGGGGCGTTGGGTCTGGGCTTTGGGGTGGTAAGTTCAGGCTTTACGGTTTTCATCTCCATGACGATCTCTTTGGGCTCTCATTTGCCGGGGTCTGAGAGTTGCGCCATACGGCCATGCACATGCTTGGAAGCGAACGCTGTTTTTGCTTGAATTTCGGAATGACTTTACCAAGAGACGTCTCACAGTTTCTCCGTTGTTGCCTTCAGGCCTCACCTGACACTGAAACACTATGCAGTCGGCAGTCGCCTACATCCATGCGGACTAAGCTGCAAAGCCCTAAACTCCAACAGAACCTCTGAACAAGACCCGCAGAAGGCAATTTCTTGGGCCCTATGAAGGCCTAACGATCAGTAGGAAGTTGATAAACCAAAGACGCTGATGCACAGTTCAGTTTGCCGTCGTGCTGCCCGACATCCTTGCTAGTGTCAACACCGACCGGGCTCACCGAAAACACACCAAAAACCGCAGACACCCGGAAGCTACTAATCACGTTGCCATGGGAAAGGCGGCGTACAGAGGTACTAAAACCTCAACATCTCGTTACACCCAAGGCTCTTAAACCTGCAAGGGCATGAGTGCTTAACGAGATACCGGAATGACGAGGTACCCGCCCCCAAGAGCATGCAGCACTCCACATCTTCGATCCTAAACCCGAGAGAATCAAACTGTTACGAAACCTCCACAACGACCCTAGAGCCCTAACCAGAAGCCCTCCGCCCCTTCGCCTTACCGAAAGGCTTGGCTGTGTCGAAATCCTCGCTCCACGACTTCTTCGTTGACTATGGGGAGGTTTGGGTGTGCAAAAGTCGGGCTGCAAGTAGAAGCGGTGTACCTGCCTTAGCCTACGCCGACGCATCTTTCAAAGGCCCACAATCGGACAGGCTTGATATTTCGGAGGTCTTCCTGCAAACATGCCGGTCTGCTTCCCTGGATTGTGGGCCCTGTATAAACCCAACGGTACATGTACCACACACGAGCAGCACGCAGATTTATTGAACTCCTACAACATAGGAGCCCCTGAACACCGTGAAAAGGCCTCTGCAAGCTATTTGGGCTCCTAGCGAAGCCTGATCAAACAAAATGACCACTGAAGCCAAAATGCTGGCTGGCTAGGGCAACTAAGATCGACTTGAACCCGGAAGACCCGGAAGAACCTACAGGTTCTTGACTCCTTACTCAATTTCCGTACCAGTCTGCCAGTGCCAGTTGCTTATGCTGGTAGTGTTTCTTGGGCCACAGGTATGATGTTAAGCCCAGGGCCTAACGCTTACTTGTCGCATGCAACTGTAGACTGTCTAGCACCAACTCTGGTAGACGAGACTGCTTCGCCTCAACTGCGTGGTTCACCGCGATGTTGGTAGTAGTTACAGTTGTGCAGAGACCCTATGCAAACTGAAGCCTGAACTCGCCCCGGGTCCATCTTTCTTGCTGCTGCCCCATGCAGGAGCAGAAGGGCACAAATCGCGGCGAGAGCAGTCCTGCCCGGGTTTGGTAGACATAATCGCGCCGAGACTGACAGATGAGCTGACTGCAGCGGTCACGAACGCTTACGTAGCCGTCCACGTCCAGAGCCAGCAAGTTTCAAGCTTTCAGTCTTCTTGCATGCGCTTTGGGGCTTTACAGACTCAAAAAAATGTACTCTTTGCACATCTATATCTCAACATCGTAGTGCTGCTTACAGTGTCCCTACAAAGCTCGACTGAGGATATCTCACGGTACAACGCCCCTCCAAAGCTCTGGATCATGATTCTACGAAGGCTCGTTCACAATCCCGATGAGATCCCATAAGGACCATAACATAAACCATAAGCCCCAAACCCCAAACCCTAAAAACCCTAAACCGGAATAACCACCTTCGAACATCATAGTGCTGGCTTCGAGGGGCCTCGCCATGATCGGCTTCAATGCCTGCAAACAAAAGGTTTAGGGCTAAGGGTCCTGAGAGGGTTCGGGTTCGGGGATGCCTTGGGACACGCAGCTATGT